AGTTTTGCATGAATTGGGCATAAAATGTGCTCTGAACGTCATCTAAGTCACAACAATAGAAGAACACAATCTGCTGAACATAAATACTACACAAACATTAGATGTTGCCATGGTTTAATTGCACATAACATGTAAACATTCACAGTGCAGGGAGGAAAAATATGTGAAACTTTGGACTTAATAACTGGTTGACCCTCCTTTGGCAGCAATAACCTCAACCAAACGTTTCCTGTAGTTGCAGATCAGACCTGCAACGATCTGGAGTAATTTTGGACCACTCCTCTTCACAAAACTGTTTCAGTGTAGCAATATTCTTGGGATGTCTGGTGTGTGAATCGCTGTGAATGCCACAGCATTTCAATCGGGTTGAGGTCAGGACTCTGACTGGGCCACTCCAGAAGGCGTATTCTGTGCTATTGCAGCCATTGTTTTGTTGAATTACTTGTATGCTTTGGGTCATTGTCCTGTTGCATCACCCATCCTCTGCGGAGCTTCAGTTGGCGGACAGATGGTCGTACATTTTCCTGCAAAATGTCTTGATAAACTCTGGAATTCATTTACCCATCAATGATAACAATCCGTCCAGGCCCTGAGGCAGCAAAGCAGCCCCAAACCATGAAGCTCCCTCCGCCATGTTTTACAGTGGGGATGAGGTTTTGATGTTGGTGTGCTGTGCCTTTTTTTCTCCACACATAGTGTTGTGTGTTCTTCCCAAACAACTCAATCTTGGTTTCATCTGTCCACAGTATATTTTGCCAGTAGTGCTGTGGAACATCCAGGTGCTCTTTTGCAAACTTAAAACGTGCTGCAATATTTTTTTTGGACAGCAATGGCTTCCTCCGTGGTGTCCTCCCATGTACTCCATTCTTGTTTAATGTCTTCCTTATTGTAGATGTGTCAACAAAAATGTTAGCATGTGCCAGAGATTTCTGTAGGTCTTTAGCTGACACTCTGGGATTCTTCTTTACCTCATGCAGTATTCTGCGCTGTGCTCTTGCAGTCATTTTTACAGGACGACCACGCCTAGGGAGAGTAGCAACAGTGCTAAACTTTCTCCATTTGTAGACAGTCTGTCTTACCGTGGACACATGAACATCAAGGCTTTTGGAGATACTTTTGTAACCCTTTCCAGCTTCATGCAAGTCAACAATTCTTGATCGTAGGTCTTCTGAGAGCTCTTTTCACATCAGACAGTGCTTCTTGAAACCAGTAAACTCAAAACAGGTGTGTGTTTTTTAAGGGCAGGACAGCTGTCAGCAACACATCCAATATCATCACACTGATTGGAGTCAAGGTTGGCTCACTCCTGGCTCCAATTAGCTCTGGGAGAAGTCATTAAGCTAGGGCCTCACATACTTTTTCCTCCCTGCACTGTGAATGTTTACATGTTATGTGCAATTAAACCATGGCAACATCTAATGTTTGTGTAGTATTATGTTCAGCAGACTGTGTTCTTCTATTGTGACTTAGATGACGTTCAGAGCACATTTTATGCCCAATTCATGCAAAACTCCATGTAATCCCAAAGGGTTCACATACTTTTTCTTGCAACTGTATGTAAAGCACTGTGTAAATTGCCGGCGCTAAGCATATCAGTACCTGTAATAAATACTGGGAGGGGGTAATTTTTTTGTTGTGCTTTGTTTACTGTCTTGTAAATTACGCACTTCTAACCAGCAGACTGTGAAAGGAACACACAATCCAGAACAAACAGAAGTCTGAACAAAATACCCCAACCTTCGAACATGATCTGCCCCAAATCTAACATTCATTCAGTAAGGCTGGCTATGTATGTCAGATGGTAGTTAAATTTGCACAACTCTGTCACAAAGCACAGCCCTGTCTGGCAAGGAAGGGGGAGAATGTTTTTCTGCTACAATTCCACTTGTAATTAGAGGTCCCCTCATCACCACCCTATGACTGTCTGTGAAAAGAGAAACAGAAGACTAATGAGATCATCTCTCTGTTCCTATTAGGTTGCTCCTTGCACTGCAGCGCACCTAATTGGTTCTTTTTGCATCTTCTCCCTCCCCATCTCTGGGTTCTGCTGTACAGGCTTTAACATACAAAGCCATTCATAACGCTGCCCCAAACTACCTCACAGACCTGATACCCAAATACTACCCAAGCCATACTCTTTGCTCCTCAGAAGACCTCCTACTTTCTAGCTCCCTGGTCTCCTCCTCCCACGCCCTACTGCAGGACTTCTCCAGGACTTCCCCCATCCTCTGGAACTCGCTACCCCAATCCATCAGACTGTCACCTACCCTCCTCACCTTTAGGCACACCCTGAAAACCCATTTCTTCAGGGAAGCCTACCCCACCCTCACCTAACAGCCGATTTCCTCCACTCTTCCTACCACTCCATCCCCCACAGCCACTTCCTCCTGTACCACTATCCCCTCCCTCCTAGATTGTAAGCTCGAAAGAGCAGGGCCCTCAAACCCCTTGTGTATTGTTTGGTTACTGTATTGTCTCATGTACTGTCCCCCACTATAATGTACAGTGCTTAGCAAACCTTTTGGCGCTATATAAATCCTGTATCATAATAATAATAATAATACAGGGACTGCAAGAGGCTAATAGTAGGTCAAATTTTGTACTTGAATGAAAGTGTATGCCTAGGTTGATTCCCCCTGGAGGTAGACCAATGGTGCTCCAAAGCTCATAGTGTCTTCCTGGCACTTTAAATAGCATGAGAGTATAAGGTGAAGACCTGACAGCTCATTCTTCCGGTGAAAGTACTTTACTAATAAAGGGTAGAGTGTGCAAGTTACAGCTTCTTACGCGTTTCAGTAAAAAAATCCTTGGCTATGAATAATGTTGTTTACGGAAATGCATAAGATGCTGTAACCTGAACACTGTACCCTTTATCCATGAAGTACGTTTATTAAAACGAGCTGCCAGCTCTTCACCTTATACTGTCAGATATTTTGTACGTGGACATTATCATGAACAGTAAAGAATATTATATTTAGTTCCAAACTGTCTCTCAAGTATCAGTTCTCAACCAAACACCTAAATACAGACATACCACCTACAAGAAGGCACACTGATTAACCACTTGCCTACCAGGCACTTATACCCTCTTATTTACCAGGCCAATTTTCAGCTTTCAGCGCTGCCGCACTTTGATTGACAATTGCGCGGTCATGCAACATTGTACCCATATGAAATTTTGATCATTTTTTTCTCACAAATAGAGCTTTCTTTTGGTTGTATTTAATCGCCACTGGGTCGCTTTACTTTTTGCGCTATAAATAAAAAAGTGCAAAAAATTTGAAAAAAAAAAAAAAAAAGTTTCTTTGTTTCTATTATAAAATTTTTCAAACAGGTAATTTTTTCTCCTTCACTGATGTGCGTTGATGAGGCAGCACTGATGGGCACTGATAGGCGGCACTGATGGGCACTGATAGGCAGCACTAAAGGGCACTGATAGGCAGTACTAATGAGGTGGCACGGATAGGCGGCACTGATAGACAGCACTAATGAGGTGTCACGGATAGGTGGCACTAATATGCAGCACTGATAGGCGGCACTGATAGGTGACACTGATGATGGGTACTGATAGACGACATTGACTGGCATCACTGCTGGGCACTGACTGGCGGCACTAACTGGCACAACCCCTGGGCACTGACTGGTTGCACTGACTGGCAGCACTGCTGGGCTGCACTGGTGGTTGGCACTGGTGGGCAGCACTGGTGGGTGGGCACAGGTGGGTGGCACTGGTGGGCACAGGTGGGTGGCACTGCTGGGCACAGGTAGGTGGCACTTCTGGGCACAGGTGTGTGACACTGCAGAGTGGCACAGGTGGGTGCACTGCTGGGCACAGGTGGGTGATCTGCTGGGCACAGGTGGGCAGAGCTAGTGGGCGCACTGCTGAGCACAGGTGGGCGGAACTTGCGGGTGGCACTGCTGGGCACCGATCATCAGGGCACTGATGATCGGTGCCGATCCCCGCTCTGACAACTGCCGGTTCTCGGCAGTACTTTCCTCACGATCTGACAGCGTGAGGAAAGTGCAGCCGAGAACCGGCACTTGCATTTCCCTCTGATCAGCGTGTCATTGGACACCGCTGATCACGTGGTTAAAAGGCCGCTGTGATTGGCTTTTTACCACATCACGTGATCAGCTGTGTCCGTAGGACACAGCGATCACGGAGATCGCCGGGTGCGCGCCCCCTGGGAGCGCGTTCTGGGAGGACGTCATATGACGTCCACTCAGAACTGGCCGGCCGTAGTGCAGCCGTCATTCGGCTATCTGCGGTCGGCAGCTAGTTAAGCAGATGATCAGGATCCTTAAAGCTGAACTCCAGGATAAGCAAATATAGTCCAAATACAAGAGTCATGTGTATTCTTACTTGAATCTTGCTGTGTTGTGTGTGTTTTTTTTGTTCCACATCTTTGCAGTAATCCAGTGTGAGACTTTGCCTCTGTGCACAAGCTTCCTGTAATAAAGAGCGCTTAGTCCTGCTCCCTCTCCTAGAGCAGGGTGGCTGGTCTTGTATCTGCTTTTTCCACCTGCCAAGCCCCTCCCACTGCTATGATGTCACTGCTACTTTTACCAGGTAATACATGGGTTTGCAAAGGCATTTCCTGCACACAAAGTGTATTTATATCCTTTATAGCCATTAAGGAATATAATTGAATAAACGTTTTTGGGCCCAGAGTTCAGGTTTAAGTGAATTTGGAAAGTATGAAGAAGAAGGTGGTTTTAGAAAATAGGGTCAAATTTTTATTTTGTTTCTTTCTGTGCTTAAAGCTGTCCACAACATTGGATATGCTAAGCGGTGATTGGCAACAAGGACCAGACACTTACAAATAGTCTAGTAAGTACAGGAACAAACAGCTACATAAAATAACAGATACAAAAAAAAAAGTGGAGCAGAAATGGTTACAGGAGCTGTTTATGATGTGACTTTTATTATATAAAGACTTTGATGACTCCAAATAGAGGATATATTTATATAATAATCAATATTTTTGTGTTGTTTCCAGGTCTTTCTTCCTCTTGCCTTTATTGTTGTTGGAGTGTCGGCTTTTCTGGTCCTGGCTCCCATCGTACAGAATCCAAAAGTGCAGTATTTTTATGTTTTGCTGTTTATGTTCAGCAGCATCATTGTCTATATTCCCTTTGTCCATTTCAAACTGAAAATCCCATACATTGATAAAATTACTTGCTATCTACAGTTACTGCTTGAGGTTTCCCCAACTGATATCTTTGAAGATTCCAAAATGAAATAATAATGTTGTTGTTTCAATATAGAAGAAAAAATGTGCCTAGTTGTTGCTTTATTGCCCTTTAAGATAACCTAAATTAGTTTAACCAGAGGCATAGCCAGACATACAGTAATAATTATCCAGTTCTTTTAAATGGTATTCGATAGACAACCTTGGACTATCCACTTCATCAGGTCAGTACAGGTAGATGGCAAATGTTGACATCATTTCATGACCCGAACAAGGGCTTAGGGGAAGGACCAACCAATCCCCATGGAAAGCAGACATATTTCTGGGCTTATAGTGGCAATATATTGCATGCAGTGACTATTGCAACAGCATGGTACAATCTATAACTGCGAACTAAAAGAAATCAGAATAAATATCCAGTAGACCCCAGCCTGAAGTTACTGCTTCCTTATGGGGTATTCAGCTGGTGTCTTGTATAGTCTCAGAAATTTCCAGGTTTTCCATACTATACTGCCAGAGATAGTTGGTTTATTTTTTAATACAATTCTCAATGACAAAATAAGAACATTTGATCGGGTCTGGAATCCTTGGATTCAGCCCGAAACTGGCCGTAGGTTACACAGGGCATTTGCCTAGTGGGCCAGGCAAGCCTGGATAGGAGGGGAGGCTGGGCAGCATATAGAGGAATCAATCCATCCATTTCCCGCCTGCTATTGCTGAATGCACACTTCTTCTCTCCCTCATGCAGGATTGGTTCCTTTATATGCTTCCCCGCTGCCCCTCCTATCCATTTTCTTTCTGCTGTCCCCAGGCCCCTGTCCTCTCTCCTGGACCCCATGAACTCTCTCAGGGCCCCTGTGTGCTCTCTCCCAGCCCTTCTCCTCTCCCCCACTGTGCTGCTAGGTTCCCCCCTCCTCTCTCCCGCCATCTGCTGCCAGGGATCTGTCAGGATGGAGAGCGGGGAAGGGACAGGTAAATATTTCATTTACTGGAAACTTGTCTGAATGGACAGTCAGTGATCAGTACTGATCACTGACTTTGTCCATTCATATCTGAGGCTTAGTAAACTGTGCTTGCTATACTTCAGTTTATGAATGAACGGGAAGCTCTGTACAGAGCTAATCCTATCCATTCATTCTGTGCTGCTGAGGCTACAGAGATGAAGACTGAGGGCTGTGTCCTCAATCTACCTTCTTTGTCTCAAAAGAGAGATGTCAGGGGTCTATTTAGACCCCTGACATCTTACCAAACCCCCCCCCCCCAAGAGGGCCACTAAAAAAATGTAAAAATACTATAAATGAATAAATAATATAAGATGGTAAAATATATAATTTAAAAATGTTTTAAATGCGCTTGAGAATATGCAAATAGAATTAGCAGCTAATAGAATATAGGCAAAAATACACAAATAACAAAACACTTAGTGTAAAAAAAAGAATAAAGAATAACAATGAAGTTCAAATCACCACAGATGAAAAGATATTGGTGAAAGTAACATAATAAATATAACAAAGTCTCTGCAAAAACTCTTCAAAATCCTGTGATAGGGGTGCCATATGAAACCAGAACCGGAAAGAGAGAATCCTTCACCCAATCATTCGGCCTCTTACAAGAAAGTTTGAGCAGATATCAAGCCCAACAGACGAGTCCAGGACTCCCAGAAGGCTCTCCCCAGATACTAGAATGAGTTAGAAGCAGGGGCGGACTGACAACTCATGGAGCCCCTGGGGAATAGGGGATCAACATGTGACATCATCCCACATCTCTATGGACCGCTGCCATCTTGTTGGTTAGAAACAATACTCATATCTGCTGATTTTTACTCTGCTTGTTGTAAGTACAATATTTGAATAAATGGTATATTTTATATAAATACTACACTATGGGCAGATATATTTCTTTCCCTATGTGGTGTTAACTATGCGGAGAGATATTTGCCATCTTAGACCGCAGTGTTTAGTAAGAAGCTTCTAACTCATTTTGGTATCTGGGGAGATCCTTCTGGGAGTGCTGGACTCATCTGTTGGGCTTGTTTGACCAGTCCTTCGGGTGGTCAAACTTTCCGGTAAGAGGCCAAATGATTTGGTGAAGGGTGAAGGATTCTCTCTTTCTGGTTCTGGTTTCATTCAGCACCACTATCACTGGATTTGAAGAGACTTTGTTATATTTATTATGTTATTTTCAACAATATATTTTCATCTGTGGTGATTTGAATCTAATTGTTATTCTTTATTCTTTTTTTAAGTACTACACTAAGTGTTTGTTATAGGGGTCATAACGTACAAATGCTCCTACAGTGCCCACACTCAAGAAACAAGCTACAAAATCATTTCTCACTGGTACAGCACAACCAAACTTCTACACAAAGCTAGCCCACAGGCACCTCTGACTTGTTGGAAATGCCAAAAAGATAGAGGTACACACATCTTCTGAAATTGCCCCAAAATCCAAACATTTTGGAAAGGGCTGCTGCATACCTTGATATTGCAAATTACCAACTACTCTGTAGCCTTCAGAAATACCTGGGGCACCCCTTGTTTCCACCTTGTTGGAACTTTGAGTAAATACATTGTGCTGCATTCCTTGGCCTCCATGTGCATTTGCTCCACTTTGGATACCAAACACCTGGTCCCTCTTACATGCTATCACTTTTACTAAACCTGTACAAGTCCTGTTGCCTGTTTCTGAGGCATTTGGGACACTGTATGTACAGTTCTAGTACAAAGTGGGAGTGCTCATGTAGAGGAGACTCATACAGGATGTAAGTCCTGGAGGCACAGGGAGCACAAACAGAATGGGAAGTGTGTCAGAGCAGATGGGGTCAGTTTCAAAAGTTAACTCAGAGAAAGAAATTTACAGAAAAGCAGCTAAGTAAGTACAGTAAGTTACATTATTATCTGTTTAAAAAGACTTTAATGTTACTTTAATAACCCCCACTGTAGAGAAAGAGATACAGTGTAAGTCTATGTGAAATTACAAGTTACAAAGATTCCAGCTTCTCCTGCAATTACTATTGTTCAAATAAAGACATCACAAATGTAATAAATATCATGTGATAACAAATCATGACAAAAAATGATAATTAAAGTGCTGACACAACCAAAATGTATGTGTATCATTCAGATAAAGATTTTGCAAACAAAAGAGTACGGTATGGTAACAAATCATGACAAAGTCCCAAAAAGTGAAAAATCTTGAATGTGCAATAATTTCACTTTTCAATTGAGATCAGAGGTGCTCCCCCAGAAGATGAACTCTGACCTCCAAAATCCACTAAATGACCCCCACTACAAAGGTCAAACTGGCATATTAGTCAGGCACCAGGACCCAGGAGGAATGGACCAAAAGCCAAGAGTTGCCATCTTCGCTAGATCAGCCTGTGTCCTGTATAACTCAGAGAAATGACCTCTGCAGCCCAGCCGTTTTACTGCTTCAGTTAGTCACATCCAGGAGAAGGGTATAACTTTCATGCACAAAAATAGAGAAACCAGGCCATAGTACTTACTATAATAAAACCAGTGTATTAAAAAGTTAAATCGCACTCACATGGCAAATAAAGCTGCTGTCAAGTCCCTCCAGATCACAAATATGTGTTCAATTCAGGATCGCTGTGACTGCCCGACATGTTTCCGCATGAATTACTTCCTCAGGAGCAAAGAGCACAGCGAGACTATGCCTTGTATTTATCCACCAGTACAAACAAAATGGCAACCACACCAATGTGTAACTTGCCTATGCAACAAGGAGCACATGGAATGGCAATGCATGTCAAAAAACAACAAACAAAAGCTCACTTACCAGCCAGCCTGCAACAAACAAAATTACCATGTCTAACAGTTCACATTAAAACCAGGGTTTAGTTTGCACACATTTTCAAATATATGCATAAACTGCAGAGGCCACTTCACGGCACCCAGTGTACTGCAGTCCAAACTCTATAAATTTTAAAAGCCTCCAAAGTTGAAGCACGATATATAATAATATATAATATTAGGCAGATTGAGGGCAGGTATGCCTGGAGGGAACCAACCCCTCCTTATTTATCCAGCAGAGGTCATCTGCTGCAGCTGCACAGTCGCAGTAAGAACTAATTCACAGAGCAGCATGTTCCAAGAGACCAAATAAGACAACACACAACATAAAAACAAAAACAGCAAAAACCCAAAACATCGTATGTACTATATTGATTCGAGCCTCTGGTCCACATGGCATTGTAAGCAGGACTATTATGTAGATTTAAAAAAAAAAACATAAAAACAAAAGGCAGTAAAAAGAAAAGGAGAAATGTTCAGTCCTGAAGCCAGCCGGGCTTAAGCAGGCTCGGATGGGGGGCAGCCCGGGTGGGCATGTGGTGATAACTTGGCACCTTTTACGAATTGTAGTAGGAAGGGGAGATCAGATCGGGAGTGACGGCAGGGATGAGGGAGTACTGTCAGACTGGAGTGAAGTCCAGAATGGAGAGGAAGGAGCAAAAGAGGACCGTCACCCAGACCGTGGATTGATTGAGCCTCAGTGGCAGAAGCAGGAGCTTTGGGGCAGCTGGAGGATTAAGAATCAGAGGACTGAGGCCTGCCGTCTAACTGAGCCTGCCCTCAGTGCCCCCACTGCCCTGCACCTCAGCAGTCCTACAGAGGAGGCAGGTCAGTGACAGCTCCAGCCACCTAGGCTACACAAAATCTGCAGGATCATTGATGTAAGGGAGGACTCAGAAGGAATACACTAAGGTAAGGGGAAACACTGATATAAAGGTTCCCCAATATATCAGTAACCCCCCTTACCTTAGTGTACACACTCTACGGAAAGTGGTCTGTGGTCACTAGAGTCCCACCTCCCACATCAGAGTTCCCAACGTTCCCCCTTAAATCAATGTCCTTAGAGGTCCCCTTTACATCAGAGTCTACAGGATCTCCCCTTACAGTGTAAGGGGGAACTCTGCAGATCCTGACGTAAAGAGGAATTCTGATGTAAAGGGCAATGATGCAGAGTGCAGACCCTGATCTAAGTGGGAACCCTGATGTATAGGGGAACACAGCAGACCATGATGTTAGGGGGAATGTTGCAGACTCTGATGTAAGTTGGGGGGGCTCTGGTGACCAGAAATTGCCTTACATCAGAGTTCCCTTTTACACCAGAGTCCACAGCATACCCCTTTACATCATGGTCTGCTGCATTCCTCTTTACATCAGTTACCTTTTACATCAGGGTCTGCAGAGTTCCCCTATACATCAGCGTTTACCTTTACATCATGGCCCACAGAGTTCCCCCTACACTGTAAGTGGGAACCCTGTGGACTCTGATCTAAATGGTAACTTCGTGGACTTACACTGTAAGTGGGAACCCTGTGGAATCTGAGGTAAGGGAGAACTTTGTGGACTGTGATGTAAAGGGGAACTCTGGAGTCTGATGTAAGGGGAAAACTCTGTGGACTGTCATGTAAAGGGGAGCTCTGTGGACTCTTGTGTAAGGAGGGAGCTCTAGTGACCAGAGATTTACCTCTGCTTAGTAAATGGTGTTTGACGGATCTCTTACAGTACTGTAATCTTGCGAGATTATAGTAAAAGCAGACGTTTTCCAGCGTTTGTAGATCGTTCTTCCTTCATTCGGAGAACTGATCTACACAGCTTCATAAAAGGCATTCACAGGAGAACTGTGTTCTCCGAGAATCTTGGAGAACTGAGCAGCGGTCTTTTACCACTACTTGATAAAAGGACACCTATACCTCTTTTAATACAAGAGAGGATTTTGCTCACTTTAGAAACCTCAGCTTGGCATTGCATGCCATTATTAAGCTTGTGATCTACCAGAACTCCCAGATCCTTCTCCACCATTGATTCCCCCAGTTGTACCCCCCCTAGTATGTATGATGCATGCATATTCTTAGCCCCCAAGTGCATAACCATACATTTATCAACATTAAACCTCATTTGCCACATAGTTGCCCAATTCAACAGTGCACTGAGGTCGGCTTGTAAATTGAAGACATCCTGTAAGGACGTTATTCCACTGCAAAGCTTGGTGTCATCTGCAAAGACTGAAATTATACTTTTAATCCCAGACCCTATTTCATTTGTGAATATATTAAAAAGGGTCCCAACACTGAACCTTGGGGTACACCACTGACAGCCCTAGACCAGAGTATGAATCATTAACCACTACTCTCTGAATATGGTCTTTTAGCCAGTTTTCTATCCATTTACAAACTGACTTTTCCAAGGCGGTACACTTTACCTTACACATTCTCCTTTAACCTCCCTAGCGGTATTCCCGAGTGTAGCTCGGGGTAAAATGTCTGTACCAAAAGCGGTAACCCTAAGCTACACTTGGGCTTACCATGCGGCGCTGCATAGGGAGTCCCTGCAGAGCTTACCTTGTCCTTCGCTCCCGCAATGTGTCCCCTGCAGTGTCCCCGGCCATCTCCTCCGGCTGATGCCAGCATCCGGCTTCTGTGTTCCGGTCCCTGTGACGTCGGGACGTACGGGCGCCGGCAGCAGCGGGAGATTTGAAAATTTTAAAAAAATTTCATTTTTTTCAAAACGATTTTACATAGTAAAACACTGCTGTTTCAACCATTTCACATACATTTTGTCCCTAGTGCTCTGTCCTGTCCCCTGTCTGCATTTTGACTGTTTTTTCTGCCTGAAAACTTAGAAAAGTCCATGGCGTCCAAAAAGTGTCCCTTTAGGTCAAAAGCGGGTTTAGATCAGCTAGAGAACAGCGATAGTAAATCAGAACCACTTGCAGAGTTGAGTGATAATGATTCGTGGAGAAATTCGTCATCAGACACTGAAAACAATTTTGCGAGTTTGCGAACTTGGTGCTATATTTCAAATTTCAGTGTTTTTGGTTTGATTATATTATTGAATTAAATGTATTATTATTATTATATTATTATTTTTTATGATTATTTATTAAATTATAATTTATGATTTTTTTTTTAATTTTCTCATACCCGGGATGTTTAATAGACTCTTATTCGGACAGATTTCAGTGAGTTATTCCTAAAAAATTACAGCCTACAATAAAAGAACTACATATTTCCATGCAAAATAATGGTACCGCTTTCAACACCAAAAATCTGAAATAATCATACCACCAGGGAGGTTAAGTTCCTTTTTACACGTACTGTTATATTCTTTGTAATATGTAAATGATGATAGCGTTCCTTAATTTTTTATATTTTATAAAAGCTCTTTTCTTATTATCTATAGCTTTTTTTAACTTTGGCGGTAAGCCACATAGGTTTTATTTTTAGCCTTTTAAACTTGTTGCCTATAGGAATATATTTTGCAATGTGTTTGCATACAGTCTTTTTGAAGAACTCCCATTCCTGTTCTGTGTTCACTGATGCCAATATTCCCTCCCAAGTCTTGGAGAGTAGCCCTGATCCAATGGAAAATTAGCTCTCTTAAAGTTGAGTATTTTTATCTTTCCCATATGAATAAGGGAGGGTTATACCATCTCTCATACCATCTCTCAGAATTGTTTTTTTTTGCCATCTGTATCACACTGGGGAGATTTTCATGTTCTGTCCCATAGCCACAAAAAAGTTAGTGAAAGGAAATCCCCGCAGGTCTGTCAGAATTACTATGAGAGAAATTTTATCTTATATTCTCTCCAACTCAAACTATAATTGTATTAAACTTAAGAGGCCCAGAAATCCAGAGTCAATTTCAGGTCTCAGTTCAAGCAGGATACAATCTTGTTCCCAACTGAGATAGTTTTTTTTTGCAAACAGAGTTATTTTACAGAGCTCATCTTGTTGAACAATGGATCTCTCCCCACATAAAGTCTAGGACAGAGTCCTCTGATTGTCGCGCATATAGTATCTATTTGACAAGTACAAAATTGAGAAAAGCAAGGACACCTCAGAGCAGGAACAACAGGTTTCTATCCTTCTCTGCACCTGGAGCAAATAGAAAATACCAGCCTTTCCAGGCCCCATAAATGTAAACTGTGGGGACATCTTGCATATAAACCTGGATTCAACAAATTAGCATTCTGGCCATTCAGTAACTACCATTGTTCAGCTTTGTCCAGAGCTAAATTCTGGATAAAACCATTATTATTATCACAGATATATTTAGAAATATATGGTTTTAAAATTATAACACAATTTCGTAAGATGTGGCTAAATGGTTAGCACTTCCACCTGGCAGTACTAGGGTTGCTGGTTCGAATCCCAACCCTGGTACCACCTGCCTGGAGTTTGCATGTTCTCCCTGTGACAGTGTGGGTTTCCTCAGGGTACTCTGGTTTCCTCCCACACTCCAAAGACATGCTGGTAGGTTAATTGGCTCCTGTCTAAATTGGCCCTAGTATGTGTATGTATGAATGTAAGTTAGGGACTTTAGATTGCACGCTCCTTGAGGGTTAGGGACTGATGTGAATGTACAATATATGTATGTAAAGCGCTGCGTAAATTGACGGCGCTATATAAGTACCTGAAATAAATAAATAATAATAATAATAAAAGAGTTTATCCTAACACAAGATCCCATTGTAAGAAGGAAATACCGAATATTAACACTGGCCGTTATGTGCAATCCTATATATTTAGTGTGTTCAAAGGTATCTTATTGTAGAATAGTGTATGTGTGATGCCATATCTCTGACCAGTCAGTAGTGAATTAGTACGTTTATATGGAGATATGGATATATGTATATCTATATATAGTGTATCTTTCTGTGCTAAATGTGCATACGAATAATTTATATATATATATACTGTATATATATATATATATATATATATATATATTTATATACAACTCTTTTTAGTTAAGATTTCACATAATTTGCACTCCAAGACAGTTATACAGTTGTCACAAAGTCCAATTTGTTATAATGAAATATTAATCTTTTCCTATAACAAATGAGTTACTTCAATTTCAAGGAAAATCAAAATAGTCAGGACTTATCTTAGAGTGACACTCAGTGGCAAAATGGTGGTAATACTAAAACAAAGAATGGGTGGAGTCTGAGACAAAGTCACCAATTAAGGAAAGGTCAGGTAGACAGAGGATATGATCATATCATCAGATGATATCATCACATTCACTGAGACAGATCACCTTCATAAGACAAGGCCACATCCATTTGATCACAACATTCCATCAGGACACAACTTCCATCTGACCATCCATCTTACTGCATATCTGGCATACAACTCTAGCCAGTCCAGATGCCATTTTGTGAGAGCTCAATTCCACCCATCAATCGGCATCCATCTTTGATTTACCTGAGAATTGGAGGGTAACTATAATCTCTATTTTGGTAATTCAACTTGACCAAATTAATATGGTTTTTTTTGTCATTTTGTGGTAGCTTAATTGTCTCCTTACGATAAAATACCCACCCGCTTTTATATAGTTTAGTTTTAGTAGTACTATTATTCCTATTTTGTTCTAGGGCCATATTGGCATATGGTTTTATGCATTTGGCGCTTATTCCACCTGCAGGGGAATAACCACTGAAATTTTGTAAAACAGACTATTGTCTGATAGATATTAATAGTTACTTTGTCTATGGGGAGACATTAATTATTACTTTTATTCATCCTATATATATCTATACAACCAGTGATGCAGAAAATTTTGTAAAGTTTATGCACATTATCCTGGTGTCTATGTGCATCACAATCGAGCTATTATATTATGTGTTTGTATGTGACTTATTGTAAATAAATAGTAATTTATTTAAGAATCTGTAGTCCGTAATTACACTGATCTAATCTGTGTTTTAAAGGATTATGATTGGCTCTAAATTACTCAGAATTATTAATTAAGTCAGTTAAATTATTTTATATTTGCTATATTTGCAAGCCCCTTGAGCTGACTGAATTAATTGTCCAAACGTTACCTGGAAGAAAATATTATTGTTGGAGGTACTGCTGGATGAAATATTAATAATTAATAATTCATCAAAAGCACAGGTCACAGAACTAGTGTCCCCATTGGAATATTTCCTCTTTATGACTTTTCTGGGGACAACCCAAAAACTATGATTTTTCCTTTTACTTTCACTTTTGACATGTAGTGGGTGTGATAGATAGCTTACGATTTTTTTTTTCATGTGATATATACACCCAGTAAGGCCTGCAGAAATTTTTTTTCTCAAGAGAAAAACACTTTCCCGATAGGCAGGAGGTAGGCAAATTAGTCTGTAAATACTCTTGTGTACAGTCCCCTGAATAGTAATTTAGGCAAGAGACAAAAACATAATCTCCTTTATGCTCTTGAGACTGTGCTGGGAGAAGCAGCAAACCTTCTGGCAATGGCACGTATTGATGTGTCATCCTGGAGGAGTGGAATGCCTGTGCAACCTCTGTAGGGTCCAGGTATGGCCTCATGCTACCAGTTGTGACACTGACCAGTGACTAGCCAAATGCAGTCAGAAAAAATGAGTAGGGAAAATGTCAGTGGCCTCCACCTGTAAAATCATTCCTGTTTTGGGGGTCATCTCATTGTTGCTCATCTAGTGCACCTGTTGTTAATTTAATTAACACCAAAGCAGCTGAAACTGATTAACAACCCCCTCTGCTACTTAACTGGCCAGATCAATATCCCAGGAGTTTAATTGAGTTGATGCTATACTCTGATTAAAAAGTGTTGCTTTAATTTTGTTGAGCAGTGTATTTAACGCCTCCATTGCCCTAGATGTTAACCCCTTCCTGCCCAGCATCATTAGTATAGTGACAGTGCATATTAATAGCACTGATCACTGAATTAGTGTGACTTGTAATGTCATTGGCAGCTAGTTAGTTACCACAAGGTGTTAGTGTCAGATTGCTCGCCACACTGTCACAGTCCCGTTATAAGTCACTGATCACCGCCATTACTAGTATTAAAAAAAAAAATAGATAAAAATTCCAGTACTGTATATGTACACCATAGTTTGTAGACACTATAACATTCACACAAACCAATCAATATACACTTATTGGGATTATTTATTTTACCAAAAACATGTAGCTAAATACATGTTGGCTAGTGAGTATTTTCACGAGTACTCGTACTCATGAAAATGCTCCCGATACCTAAAACTGATACTTTGTAGTGCGATTTGCATCCATACAAAATGTATGGATGCACACTGCACTGCAAAGAAATAGCATGCGATTTGAACAGGAATGAGATTCCTGTCCAAATCGCATGCGGTTTCTGCACTGCTCCTGTGTGAACCCAGGCTTGTCATAGAGTTCACACAGTGCAATTTGCACCCATACATTTTGCATTGGTGCAAATCGCACGGCAAAGTATCAGTACTTGTGCTCACCAATCAAAAAAGGGTATCTGTGCATCCCTAATTTTGACCAAAATATATTAACCTCTTCCCGACTGCCCTATAGCAGAACTACTGCTACAAGGTGGCAGGGCTGTCCAAAATCATGTATATATATATATATTTATATATATATGTGTTATTTTTCATTGTCGGGTGGGGGGGTGCGTGTGCTCGCTGCCCTACCAGTGCCGCCATTGGCAGCTACAGCTGTCGATCACCAGGTTCTGGCCGGAAATTCCCCACCAGCACCTGCCAAGGAACACTGACCAGGGAGAGGTCTGTATGTAAACAAAACAGATCTCTCCCCTATCAGCATCAGCATACTGCTTTGTATTGCTCTGCAGAGCAATG